GGTTCTAGAGTGGTTTTAATTGTGTTTGGTACCAAGAAAACAAATAAATTCTAGTTCTACATAAATCCCAGTGCTCTCTCTGCTTCAGTTTTGTTTCTTGCACTGGCCAAAGATTGGATCTCTACTAAGCTTCCAGTTCTTGTTCTAGCCGTATGGTAGAATATAACGTGGAATAATGTGTTTTACAATTATGTGCAGTGTTGGTAGTAACGTGTGTTTAAATGGACGAAGAAACCTCATTTACGGCTGATGATAATGGTACAAATGATGTCGGTCGGACCGATAACGATCATAGTAATGAAGAAGATGACAGCAGCGATAACGATTCATGGTCATCATATGATATCTTACCTTCAGAGGATTTTTCAAATAATGAACATGGTGCAGACAGTGAAAACGTAAGTGAAGTTTATTTGATTCCAGTTTTCAATTGGCAGAGTACCATATGTGTAATAATTTGTCTGTGTTTTTAATTTACAGGAAGATGTGGACGTTGGGAATGAGCAAAATAATTTTGAAGAATCGTGGGCCGATAACTTGAGCCAGGTTTGTTCAAACATTTTTTACCGCGCGCGGTAGTTTGTAATAGATCATAAACACTGACATAGTTTCATATGTAATTTTGTAGGAGGGTTCAGATGGTCCCGATGGTGGTGACGACGAAGCAGAGATGGACATTGAGGAGGCTCAATACCAGCAGCGCGTGTTGGAGACACATTGGAAGGTCATGGCTATGACTTTTCGGTCACAAGGGGATGCATATATATTCTACAACAGGCACGCCAAAGAACATGGGTTCAGCATCAGGAGAGAGAAGGTGAAACGAGGGAAGGGTGCTTCAGGAATAATACGGTTCAGGTGGTTTGTCTGCTCTAGGGCAGGGAGAAGGCAGAGGAAATTCATAACCATGCAGGGTCGCACCCGCAGGCTTAGACCCGAGACTCGATGCGAGTGCGGTGCGCAGATGGTGGTGAAATTGGACAGGGCACGAGGAGTTTGGTTCGTCGCGTCATTCGTGGATGATCACAACCACGCGATGGCTCGACCCGACGAGGTTCCTTTTTTGTGGTCACACAGACGGATTGGAGATGGCACGAGGGCAGAGATACTGGCTATGCAAGGGGCTGGAATCAGGAAGCATATAATTGTGGACAACTTCATCAGTAGGTACGGTTCGTACGACAAATGCGGACTTATTAGGCGGGACGTGTACAATCTTTGCTGCAGAGAGAAGATGAAGCTCATAGCAAAGGGTGATGCTGAGACGGCAGTGGGCATTATGAGGAACAGACAGGCGAAGGACCCAGACTTCTTCTTCGAGTACGAGCTAGATAAGGAAGGGCGGTTGAAGTGTATGTTCTGGTGCGATGCACAGTCGCGGAGGGACTATCAGGACTACGGAGATGTGGTCGTGTTTGACAGCACATATAAGATGAACAGATATGGTATGCCGTTCGTCCCCTTCGTCGGTGTTAATAACCACCGTTGCACAACAGTTTTTGGGTGCGCCATTGTTTCCGACGAGACCGAAGCGACGTATGTGTGGCTGCTCCAGACTTTTATGAGGGCAAACTGTCAGCAGAAGCCAAAGTCAATTATCACATACGGTGACGCTGCAATGCTTCGAGCGATTCGGAGTGTCCTTTCAGATGTGCTCCATCGTATTTGCTCGTGGCATATCGAGAAAAATATGCAGAGGCACCTACATTACAAGTCACTAGATGAGTTTAGATCGCTCCCGTACTATGCCACCTCTGAAGAGAACTTTGAGGAGAGATGGACCGCCTTTGTCAATAAATGGAAGACGGATAAAACTGAAGAGTGGCTGAGGAGGATGTATAGGAAGAGGAGACTGTGGGCAGCATCATATCTTTCGGATGGCTTTTTTCTTGGTATGCGTAGTAACCAGAGGAGCGAAAGCCTCAACTCCTCCCTTCACCTTCACCTCGACTATGGTATGACCATAGTTGATTTGGTAGTGCATTATGAGAACTGCATAGTTCGCCTCCGTGAGAACGAGGCGAATGATCACTGTGAGGCCAATCAGAAAGTACCACCGGCGGTTACTGAATATAAGGACATTGAGGAGCATGCAGCCAAAGTATTCACTCCTGCTAATTTCTACATTCTGCAAAATGATTTGAAGAAGATGGGAGAACTGGAGATATTTGAGACGCTGGTGGGAATTGAGCGCCAGACCTTCATCGTCACATGGCAGAATAACCACAAGTTCAGGTATAATGTTCTGTATGAACTAGGTAACTCAGAAGAAACCTTATCATGCACGTGTCGCAGGATGGTTCGGAAAGGGCTGCCTTGCAAACATATTCTCTTTGTTTTGCATCATCTTAAATTGTCTGAAATACCAAAGTGTTGTGTCCTCCATCGGTTGTCGAAAGATGCGAGAGATGGGTTGCCAGCGCAACGCAAGAGTGATCTTTTTGGTTGGGGCTGGTCTGGGCCTGAGGAGAGAGAACGGTACAGTCAAGTGAGCATAAAATCAGCAGAAGCTGCTCATGTTGCAGCAAATGATCCCTTCTTGTTTGATGAATTGATGAAGTGCCTAGACGGTATAATAGCAAGGAAGAAGATCCCGGAAGAGGAACTCATAGGACGCAGAAGGTGTGCTCTAATTGCAAAGCAGGCAATTCAAGCGGAAGAAGATGCAACAGGTATACGTGATCCTGAGAAAGTTTCGACGAAGGGTGCACCTAAGAAAGGCCGGTCAAAGGGTGGCCCTGACGTTACGAAAAATGGTAGACCTAAAGATTTTAGAGAGAAGAAAAGTGGTCCGTTGTGCAGTCTTTGTCATTTTGCAGGTCATAACAAGGCGACATGTAGTCTAAACGAGAAGTAAGTTTTACATTTTTATTTCAGTTATGTTGTGTGTGCGGTTTTACCAACTATATTTTATCACAAGCATTCTTTATATTTCTTTCAGGTACCGGGCGTAGAGAAGTGGCTTCGATCGTGGGAAGAAGAAAACTGGTTGCACGAGTCATGTTGGAAATTGTTATTTATTTATGTAAACATGTGTCCGGCGCAAGAAAACTTAATAAGTATTTTGTTTATGTTTCTCGAAATAATTATGTGAACATCTATTGTATGTACTGAATTATGATTGTCAACATATTTATGTGGACATCTATCCTATGTAGTGAATTAATTGCCATGATTACTGTAATGTTTCGTGTGAAGGAGTCCACAGTTTTAACATGCTGTATTCTCATTTTTTGTTTGTTCACTGTACTGTATATGTGCTGTTTAAATCATGTTGTATTCTCATATATTTTTTGTTCACTGTACTGTATATGTGTTGTTTAAAGGAAAAGTGTGAAAAAAAAGCCGACCAGCAAGCTGGACCCGCCAGTGTTACTTATGCCCTATTCTCTGAGGTGGCCTAGTCAATGGTAGATATTATGTATATTATCCCGTATATTATCCCCACTCATTCTTCCCTGCATTACTTTCTGCTCATTTGTTACTGTAGGCATATATTTTATTCTCTAAACCAACATGTTTCCCTCTTTCATCATCATTTTTGTAGCACATCCGCTCTTGGTTGAATAATCTGTCCATGTTTGTTCATTGTACTGTATATGTGTTGTTTGAAGGAAAAAAGTGAAAAAAAATGCCCGACCAGCAAACTGGACTCGCCAGTAGGTATATCTTTTCACACAAATCAAGCACAACAATGCGACTCGGGCGGTGAAATCGACCACTACGGGCCCAGCGGCGAGGTCCAACGGGGCAGGATGGATATGTAATAGAGGAGTTCGACTCCTATGCCGTGTCGGGC